AGGCTGGACATAAGGAAGAATTTCTTTACTGTTCGATCCCCAAGGTCTGGAACAGCTTACCATTTGACGGTGGTTCAAGCACCTACACTAAACACCTTCAAGAGCAAATTGGATGCTTATCTTGCTGGGATCCTATGACCCCAGCTGACTTCCTACTCTTTGGGCAGGGGGCTGGACTCCGATCTTCCAAGGTCCCTTCCAGCCCTAATGTCTGAAATCTATGAAATAATCTGTTGGCTTTAGAGCCACTCACAATCTTGCTCTATAGCTGTTACCCTATGGGATTGAAAGATGTTAAAAATGATCATAAAAGATTACTACCTAGACTCGGGTTTATGCAATAAGCAAATTACAATGCATTACCTTTAGGTTTGAAATTGACATTGCTCCGTCTAAGTCCCAACCCCTTTTAGTTTTTTGAATATGCTTTCTTGGGATGTGCTTTCCTGGAATGTGTTGGGTGTGCCAGGCAGTTGGATCCAGTTTTATCATCAAGGCTGAACCCTGAGCAAAAAACGGGTAGGTCACCTAATCTTACAGCTACAGCTTTGCCTATGGGGCCCAGTCAGTTCCATGAACAGTTAATTTTATCATTGTGGTTAGATTTACAACAGACAAGTTACATTTGTGGTTTACAAACTTACAAGCTTTATATTAACTAATGTTACCTGTTAAAGCAAAATACCAAATGCCTCTAAGAAGCACATATTTATTGCTTATTAATCCCTCTGGTTCTGGCTGTCACAGACTGACTCGCAAGGGAATGTGGATATGAAAAGCCTTTGAAGGAAAAAAGAAATTGCATATCTGTAAGCAGAGTTCCTTGAGATGTATTGTCTGTATGCACAATCTCTTCCTTGGAGTCTCATCCCTTGTAGGGTTCTGAAGAAACTGCAGCTTATGCTATGGGTAAAGTGTCTAGAGCTTTAGGCAGAACAGGGTTGCCAACCTGTGGTTTAGTTATTAGCCTTTGTGTGTGGCATGCAACAGATCACGGAAGGGATAGGTAGCATAGTAGGAGCTAGGGCAAGATGCAGAAGACAGAGCAGAAGATAAAGCAGGGAGTACAGGGTAGGAAGCAGAAAACATGAGATCACATGAGGGAGGACAGAGTAGGGAGCAGAAAGCAGGGCAGCAGATTGGGCAGAGGAAGGGGATCAAAGTGGCACTTCGGGGGGGGGGGGGGGGGGGGGGGAAATTCGGGGGAGGGCTGCGGGGAAGGTTGTTCC